TCCTTGCCTTAACAACTGTAAATAATATCTTGGTGAAAATTCCCATTTTCAGTTCAGTGTTTTGTGGAGTGAGATTCATGGCACCCAGTCCACCATGGCTAGAGCAATTTTCCCATGCAATTTTTTGCTTTTCACCTCAATAATTATGCAACCAGACTCTCTGGCATCTTTCTCATGGAATCACAAGACAAAAGAGGTGAAAGTGCTTGCCACTACTGGGATCTTCTAGGTTATGCCACTGTCACCGTATTTATAGCACATGTACACACCATTTCATGGGGACTGGATATCTAGTGGGATGACACAAAGATAGGTGGTAGAACAGGTAGTGTTGAGGGAGCAGCGAGGTTGCAGAAGGACAGGTGAGGAGAGTGGGAAAGAAGTAGCAACTGGAATACAATGTGAGAAAGTGTGAGGTTGTACACTTTTGGTAGCAAGAATGGAGTCATAGACTACTCTCTAAATGGGGAGGGGCTTCAGAAATCTGAAGCACAAGGGACTTGGGAGTCCTAGTTCAGGATTTTCTTAAAGTTAACTCGCAGATTCAGTTGGAAGTTTGGAAAGCAAATGAAATGTCATTTGTTTCAAGAGGGTTAGAGTACAAGAGCAGAGATGTACTGCAGAGACTTTATACGGTTCTGGTCAGACTGCATTTGGAATCTTGTGAGCAGCTTTTGGCCCTGTTTCCAAGGAAGGGTATGCTGGCTCTGGAGGGGGTCCAAAGTAAGTTTACAAGACTGATCCCAGGGATGAAGGGCCTTTCATTGGTGGACTTGTTGAGGATTCTGGGACTGTATTCGATGGAGTTGAGAAGGATGAGGGGAAGAGCTGATTGAAACTTACAGAATATAAACAGGCCTAGATAGTGTGGACGTGGACAAGATACTTCTATTAGTAGGAGAGACTAGCACCCAAGGGCACAGCCTCAGTGAAGGGACAACCTTGAGAACTGAGATGAGGAGGAATTTCAACCACATGGCGGTTAATCGGTGAACTCGTTGCTGCACAGGCTGTGGTGTCCAAGTCATTGAGTGCATTTACACCAGAGATAGATAGGTTCTTGAATAGCAAGGGGATCAAGGGTTATGGGGAGAAGGCAGGCAAATGGGGTTGAGAAACATACAGCCATGATCAAATGGCGGAGCAAACGCGATGGGCTGAAGCCTAATTCTGCTCGTATATCTTATGGCCTGAAAATCAGATGCAATCAGATCCAGAGAAAATTCAAGATGCACAGAAAGGGGATCATCTATTTTGGATTATATATGAATGAGAATATTCACATTTTGGAAGTGGAACCTCACCTATAATTAACAAGGCTAAAAACATAATCTCTGCAGACATGGAATGCACAAATAAACTTATATTACAAGGAGGTATTTTTGGCAGATATACAAATTCTAAGCAAGGGTGCAGCACCACTATTGAGGACTGTCTTCAAATAAAGCAAAATACTGCAGGTCTGACAGTGTCTCTGGGGAGAAAAACACAGTAAAGCATCTGATTCGAGTGAGTAAGTGTGTGAGTGAGTGAGGTCAGTGAGTGAGTGAGTAAGTGAATGAGTGAGTGTGTGTGTGTGTGAGTGAGACAGAAACAGATAGAAAGAGTAACAGAGAGGCACCATGTGCTTGACATTGTTACTTTTCTCAGGGTTAGCAGTTAATAAAACTGCCCTTCCTTTCACTAAAAAAAATCTTGTCATTGGTCCCTTCCGGTTTTTGATGAAAACATTTCAACTGGGTAAAGATATAGGCATTGATAAAATCTAAATCTTCATTGTGCGGACTGAGCAGGTTGAAAAGAGGTGAGCTGAGATATCCCTCCTTGCCTGCTCATTACACTGTCAGTAAAGGCATCCTTCCAGAGACCCAATGTGGTTTCTGGTCATTCAGGAATACCACAAATGTGATCCTTATTGCACTGTAAATCCAAGAAAAGTGTATTCAACAACCCAAAGAGTTCTTCATGACTGTTATTGATCTGTCAATGGCCTTTGGCTCTATCAACCAGGAGGCCTTCCAAAGACTTGGATGTCCAGCAAAATGTGTTACTATCCTCTGACTACTGCCCCACAGTATGATAGCAATAATGCTCTGCATTGGATTGGAGACCAAGTTATGGCCAACTTCCGCAAAGAGCCATGATTGAGTTTCAAGTTGACAGGAAGGTTTCCAACCTCAACCAGCTGAAAGCTAAGAGAGCAAGTGAACCCCTCCAGCACATCCAAGATTTACAATATACCAACTGAACTGTTACAGTACATTCAAATGACAGCAACATAAAGGGTTGATCCCTCTCTCAGCATCAACAAAACCAAAATAACCTACAAACCTTCCCTCAATCACACAACTACACATTCAGCTACAAATGTTGATGGAGGCATTTCAGAAATTGTTGAACACTTCAGCTACTTCAGTCAGAAGATTGCTATTACAGAGATCTAACACCAGAACGATCTGTGCCAGCAAGCCTCCAAAAATTACATAATTGCGAAATTTCAATGACACCCTTGTCACCACACTTCTATGTGGCAGGAAGATTTGGCTTTTGGCACCTGTATCCAAAGCCAAGTGGTAAAACATGTGAACAAACTCCAGCATTCTCACCAAAGTCAATTCCTTCAACATTGCAACCATAATCATGCACGATCAGCTTCCTTGGTTTAAGCATTGCGTGCTCATGCCAAATAATCAGCTTCCGCAACAGGTCCTTTTTCCACAACCTAAGGAAGGCACTTGATCTCCAGGACTAAAGGGTTCACTAAGAAGGCAACAAATTTATATAAATGCGGGGGGTAACCTGACACAAACAATACCGCAGAGCAACACCACAATCAACAAAACACAATACATACAGGCAATGACTGTACAAAGTCTGCTGCGGAGAAGTGAAAGCAGAATTCTGGCCTGAGAGAACCCATACTTCCCCCAACGCAACAACTTCAGTGCAACTCATTGTCCATACCTGAAGACCACTCCATGCGAAATAGGCCAAGAATGGTCCATTGAGTCACCTAAAGACATGCATATAATGATGTCTAGATGACACCATCCTCAAATGCAGTGACTTATAATGACGGCCAACAGAGGAGACGTAAGGATGTGCACAGGCAGAGATGAATAGATGTACCTATAAGGTAAGCTTGTGTGAGGAGAAGGTGCTGGATTAGGAGTTCAGGAGCAGATAAAAAGTTTTGAGGAGACATAAATGTTAGAGCTTTGATCAAATGCCTTTATTTTTCTTGTCCTGCTTAGTTAATTGAACTCCTACCTGGACTGAAAAAAGGATACAATGGTATTCTGCTGACTTCTTGTGCCACCTCTAACCAGGCTTCTGCCATTTCTAGGGAACAACATAACCTGCTAAGTCCTCATAGATCCCTGCAGCATATACAAGAGATGGTATGGGCGCGGGCACGTGCGCGCGCGCGCACACACACACACACACACACAGAGACACATACATATCCCTTCGATGGGAAAATTCCTCTCTGTTCTTCTCACCTCCAAGTGCTTCAGTTTACATGTTGGCATGTCCTTTTAAACAATGGAGCTGAAAGCAGGTCATGTGGGTTACCATCACACACTCTAACACTAATGAGTTGGTTGACTCGCGAATGTGATGCATACTCCAGGCTTCCTACACTACCCCACTGCCAGCTTCTCTTAACATTCTAATTCAGGATCAAAATTTCACCAGAAAAAAGAGGTTATCACAACAAATTCCATGAAACCATTGCTGATTGTCAGGAAAAACCTATTTTGTTCACAAATGTCCTTTAGGGAAGGAAATCTGCCATCCTTACCTGGTCTGACCTATATGTAACTCCAGACCCAGAGCAATGTGATTGACTCTTAACTGCCCTCTGGGCAATTCGGGATGGACAATAAATGCTGGTCCAGCCAGCAATGCCCATATCCCACGAATGAATTTAAAAAACTACAATCATGAAGGAAAAAGCTAACCAGCAAATCAGAAGTAAGTGATTTCTCAAAAGTAAATGTAAAACTTCAAATAAGGTCTGTGCATCTAGCAATGAAGTGCCAACATCATGACAGATTCACCAAACAGAAAAGCAGGACCCAACTCTTTTAGGGATAAAATTAGCTCCAAAAAATATTGTTGTAGTACAAAATACCATCACACAATAAGAAAATATACAAATATTTGAAGAATGAATAAACCAGAAAAATAACCATCCCACAAATATTGAAAGACACAGTCTTCACAAGATGTATATGTAGGACTTTTTATTCATCTATTAAAATTCCTGAAGATATATGCAACCTGTTCTTCCTTCCCAAAACCTATATTTTGACTACATTTGAGTGTTACTTTGCTGTAATACATATCTCATTTCTCTCCTCATTATTTTTTTGTGTTGGAAATTGAACTTCATCTTTTTTCCTGTAACCTTCTTTGTTGTGGTCCACAAAATAGGACAGATGGGACCTACACACTTACCATACTGCATTTTTGCGATTCTTAATATTTTCCCTCTGCCTTCTTGTTGCTTTCCTGATTTTTCTGGGTGTTTCTGGTATTTGCGTTATTACATCTTTAAGCTTTATAGTTAGCTCATGTTATGAATGGTTGTTTGACTATACAAGTGGCGCTTTTGATCTTTATTTAACCTTGTATTGTACATTATACCTCTCACTTTTGGTGACGAATGTCAGAAAGTTTTCCCATATTTCTGAATGCCAGTGGGATATCCCGAATTCATTATACCTTGAAGGAATTAGGTGCTTACTGTCTTAAATATCCTTCTATATAGATTGCAAAGGTGGACTATTAACTAGATGACCATGTTAAATTATGTTATATAATATTACATCACATGTTATTGTCGTGCCTGATTATGCCACGTGCATAACTATTGATACTAGTGAAACTATTTTACAGCAGCAAAAATGCTTTGACCATTAAGTAACTAATGTATAACAAATATATGTGTATATATATGTATATATTTGTGATAGAAATGTGTGAAGCCTTACCTTCCGCATTAACTGCTACAGGCTCAAATCTTTCATCAAGTACTACAAGAGAACAGGTAGCATCAAAGCCAATTCCTCTGAGATAGCACAGATTAGCTACTTGAGCTATTCTCTATAAGATAAAGGAAAAATATGCTGTAATAAAATTAGTTGTTGATTTTTATCTTATAATTTGCACTGTTCCATAAACACTGATCAGATGTTTCCTGTGGTTCCCATCAACTCTTCATTTGCCATCTCAGTTCAATTGGTGATGATACTTGATCGAGTTTCAAAGTTGAGGAGAAACCAGTCACAAAGTTGTGCTCTATTTCAAAGTAAAACTTCTTTACTTGTATAGTTTTCCTCCCTTTTCCTTCACAGTTTCTCTACTTCAAGTATTAGGTAAATCTGGCAGGGCTTTCTAACACCAAAATAAAGCAAAGAACTGTGGATGCTGGAAACCTGAAACAAAAACAGAAATTTCTGAGAAACTCAGCAGGTCTAGCAACACCTGTGAAGAGAAAGCCGAAGTGCTTGACGAAAGGTCACTGGACTTGAAATGTTAACTCTGCTTTCTCTCCACAGATGCTGCTAGACCTACTGAGTTTCTCCTACAATTTCTGTTTGTGCCCAAGAGACAAAACTGAACTAGGAAGGAGGTAACAGCTATATTTGAATTAAGGGATAACTGGGGAGTACTTGACTGGGTGTATATATATACATATCAGGAACAAGTAATCGATGGTATTGGAGATTGTGGTGTGTGAATAGAAATGAAACTCTGACTGGAAAAGTATTTACCCAGACACTGTCTAGCTAGTATTTAACCTCTGCTATTTGAAATTAACAAAGATTTGCTTCAGTTCTGAGGAAGGGTCACCGGACCCGAAATGTTAACTCTGTTTTTTCCTTCATAGATGCTGCCAGTCCTGCTGAGCTTTTCCAGCAAATTTGTTTTTGTTCCTGATTTACAGCATCCGCAGTTCTTTTGGTTTTTATTACTTTAACTGCTCTAAACCATTTCCTTTTCTAGGAGAGACTATACTTGCATCTGATTTAAGGTCTCTTTCAAACAGAACTGAAAAACATTTGAACTAATTTCTTTAAAAATTGCTCATCCTAAATTCTGCTAAACTGATGGATTAATGAGTTTCCTCTCCAGTCATAAATCCCACAGTATAAAACAACTTCCATTAAACGCCAGGAAACATACACTGGTTTAAAAGCATGGTTCCAGGAAGATTGACCTATTTATCTCCTTCACACAAATTGAACCAAACCCATATGTCACTTTTTTCAAATTCAAATTATTTAAAAATGTTTTTAATATATAAAAGTCATACATCTTTCATTACAGAGTATTAAAGTCAACTATTTATCAGAAGCGGCTAGTCAGTGGAGATGGACAACTATTACAAAAAGCACAGGGACAGCCATTAGAAGAAATAACTGGTTGAATGTACAAGATGAAAGACAGGAGGTTAAACCATGGATTCAGAACAGGAAGTACAAAAATGCAAAAAAAAAATGCAGAGTAAAATCAAACTACGGTACAGGGAGCAAACATGCCCCTAGAAAGAGATCATGAACTGTTAAAAAGAATCGTAGGGGGGACATCATTCCAGAAGCAGAGAGAAGGCAAGAAAGAGGGTGTATTTTAACAAGGTCAAGGAATATGGTACAGACAAGGAATTCCAGTAGGAGCAGGTGTGATCTGGAAATCTGAATAGCTATAAATTAAACAGAAGGCAAGATCATAAATAAAAGTTGCCAAACAGCAAGAATGGTAAGGCTGGGGAGAACCTGGAGTGTACACAAAGATGCCAAATAAGGAAAAGCCAGCTCAATCTCATAGCTGAATATGCATGGAAATGAACTCTCAGCTTGTGGCACAAGGTTTTCAAGCAAACCGGGGTGGGGGGGCAAGATATGAAGGTAGATTCACGCTGGGCAGGAAAAGCAATTTTGAAGATTTTCTTGGCCTTGTTTGCAATAAATACTTGGGAATGTCAATTAATATTAAAGCATTCCTGGGGGTGGGTTCAGCTCAGAAGGAAAATGTTTCTTTACCCTCCAAACATAAGGGGACATTCTGGAATTAATATGTACATGGCTTATATGTTGTCTCCAGAACTTGGTACTTTTCAGCAAGGTCTGCCTTATTATAGCACTGCCATGTTTTACTGGTATCATGTGGATGAGCTTTCTGGTGTCTTTATAAGACACTTAGATGATTATTTGTGGGGTGGGAACAGTGAATTTGAAAACATTGTCATAAATGGGTTTAAAACAAAATTCAAAACCATCTTCTTAGACATCACCAGATCATTCTGATCAGGCAGCAGGGTGACTTGCAAAAGTCTCGAAGAATTGTTACATATCAAATTATCTTATTCTCAGTGGCAAACCTGATCTTTGCTTGTCTCTTCCTTCCACCTGCCATCCTCACCGCACCCTTAAAAGTACTATGCAGATCAAAAATGCCACAGAATTATCATATTTTGGCACTTGATGTACTCTCCAATTCAGACACAGTCACTTGTAAAGACAAGTGGCTTTTTGACAATGCAAACAGTGGAGAGGCGATAGCTTAGTGGTAATATTGCTGGACCGATAATCCAGAGAAACAGATAATTTGACCTGGGTTCAAATCCCACCATGGCAGATGGTGGAATTTGAATTTAATAAAATATCTGGAATTAAGAATGTAATGGTGACTGTGAATCCATTGTTGATTGTTGGAAAAACCCATCTGGTTCATTAATACCCTTTAGGGAAGGAAACTGCCATCTTTACCTGGTCTGGTCTACATGAGACTCCAGACCCACAGCAATGTGGTTGACTCCTAACTGCCCTCTAGGCGATTATGGACGGGCAATAAATGCTGCCGAGCCAGCGATGCCCTCATCCCGTGAATGAATAAAGGACTTATTTTTGCTCAATATCCAGTTAAAACAGGAGCATGAGTGTAGGATGATAGCTGAAAACATTTGCTTTGCATAATTTTTACTGAAATGGGAACAAGCCACTGTATGAAATTTTGAATTTACTGTAGCGGCCACTCTACTCTTAGATCTCTTCTCAGAACAAACAACTTATTCTTAGTCACAGAATATATTTCTAGCTGTTGAAAAACAGTTAAATATAATGTAGAAGTACAGCACAGAATAAATATGAGGCAGTTGCAGAAATTTCTTAAACTAAATGACTGCGTCTGCAGTAATTGGCTCTTCCTTTCCCAACCACAACAGTGATATTTGCCAATGGCTCATCATCCAGTCCATCGAGAACAAATATCATAATGGCCCACCATCTTATGCCTGGAAATACTGGTTTTATGGGGAAAACATTTTGCCAATTATTCACTAAGAGCATGATTGAAGTGCTGCAATAGTAATCATAATCTTCATGCCAAATGGCATAAGGACTATGGTTGTTGTTGCAATATTTTCATTAATCTTTATAAATGCAGTGAGAGTTGACAGAAAACTATTGTGTTACATTTCAGTGGCTTAAACTGTAGTTCTCTGTATTTGACAGAAGGTACAGGATTCCTATGTTGCAACAATACAGTCTGGTCTGTGAATAGTTGTTTTGTTCAATATTGTCATGCAAACCATTTTATAATTATACCTTTGAAACAGTACAGCACGCTTCCCATATATCAGTAGAAGATTGCTCATAGTAATCAGGATGTGGCTTCCAAATTTGGATTGGTTGTTCAGCCTGAGCCAGCACTTTGCCATGGTGGTCTACAAGTGCTGCTCGTACACTTGCAGTTCCCACATCGATCCCCATGAAGTATTTCATGTTGGGTCAGTCTGTAAATTAAAGAAAGGACATTTTATTGTGAACTGTCCAATGTGATGTTCCATCCATGAAGACCATCAATCATTTACTAAGTCACAAATAAAGAAGATCTCTCAGCTCAATCTAAGAAAGTGACAAGGGATGACAGCAATTCTATGATTTTCTTCATCACTTATGATTTATGATTGATCAAAATGTACTCTATAAAATTCAATACGATGTGCCTTATTTTACAGCAAAATGTCATTTAATTTATTTTAATGTTTAATGTGAACTATTCATGATGTTCTATTGAATAACAAAATCACACAAAATGACTGAGAGTATATTGATATTCAGCAGATCACTCAAGAGTCATACAGCATGGAAACAAAGCCTTCAATCCAACCAGTCTATGCTGAACATAATCCCAAACTAAACTCGTTCCACCTGCCTGCTCCTGGCCCATAACCCTCCAAACCTTTCCTATTCATATATCCATCCAAATGTCTTTTAAACATTGTAAATGTACCTGCATCTACCACTTCATCAGGAAGTTCATTTCACATGTGAACTACCCTCTGTGAAAAATTTGCCTCGTGTTAAAAATGAGCCCCCGAGTCTTGAAATTCCCCATCTTAGGGAAACAACAACTACCATCAACTCTATCTATACCTTTCAATATTTTATAAACTTTATAAACACCTCTCAACGTTCTATGCTCCAGCCTATCCAGCCTTTCCTTATAACTCAAACCTTCCATACCCAGCAACATCCTGGTAAATCCTTTCTGAACCCTCTCCAGCTTGACATCATCCTTCCTATATCTGGGTGAGCAGAACTTTACCCATAAGACCGTAAGATAGAGAAACAGAATTAGGTCATTCGGCCCAACGAGTCTGCTCTTGATCACAGTTGATATATTTCTCAACCTCATTCTCCTGCCTTCATCCCATAACCTTCCATCCCTTTAATAATCAAGAACCTATCTCTATCTTAAATACAATCAATGACTCGGCTTCCAAAGTCTTCAATAGCAATGAGTTCCACATCAACCACTCTGGCTTAAGAAACTCCCCCTCATCTCAGTTCTAGAGGGTCATCCATTCACTCTGAGGGCTGTGCCCTCTCTCTTCCTAATGGAAACATCTTCTCCACATCCACTCTATCCAGGTCGCTTGGTATTCTGTAAGTTTCAATGAGATCCCCTCTCATCCTTCTGAACTCCAACACGTACAGACCCAGAGTCCTCAACTGCTGCATGTATGACAAGTCCTTCTTGTATTCTAGCTCTCATCAAATGAATGCTAACATTCTGTTTGCCATCCTAACTGCAAAATGAACCTGCAGATTAACATTAAGAGTATCGTGAACCAGGACTCCTAAGTCCCTTTAGTGTTTCAGACTTCAGAAGCCTTTCCCCATTTAGAATATAGTCTATGCCTCTATTCTTCCTACAAAAATGAATAACCTCATACGTTCTACATTGTATTCCACCTGCCACTTCTTTGCCCACTCTCCCAGCCTGTCCAAGTCCTTCTACAGCTTCCCTGCCTCCTAACAATACCTGTCCCTCCGTCTATCTTTGTGTCATCTACAAACTTAGCAAAAATGCCCTTGGTTCCTTAGTCCAGATCATTAATGTGTATTATGAATAGTTGTGGTCCCAACACTGACCCCTGTGGAACTCCACTAGTCACTGGCTACCATCCTGAAAAAGACCTCTTTATTCCTACTGTCTGCTTTCTGCTAGTCAGCCAATCCTCAATCCATGTCAGTATCTTGCCCCTAACACTATGGGCTCTTATTTTATCTCGCCGCTTTTCTGAGTAGTACCTTTTCAAAGGCCTTTTGGAAATCCAAAGAAACCACGTCCACTAACTTTGTCTAACTTGCTCATGATCTCCTCAAAGAATTCTAACAGATTTGTCAGGCATAGCATCCCCTGAAGAAGCCATGCTGACTCAACCCTATTTTACCATGCAATTCCAACTACTCCACAATCTCATCCTTAATAATGGACTCTAAAATCTTATCAATGACCAAGGTTAAGCTAACTGGCCAAGTGTCTCCTGCCTTCTGCCTCCCTCCCTTCTCAAACAGGGGTGTTATCTTAGCCATTTTCCAGTCCTCTGTCACCCATCCTGACTCCAGTGATTCCTGAAAGACAACGACCAATGCCTCTACAATCTCCTCAGCTATCTCCTTCAGAACTCTGATATAGTCCATTTGGTTCAGCTGATTTATCCACCTTCCAACCTATCCATGTCCCCAGCAGCTTCTACTTAATGATAGTCACTACACTCACCTCTGCCCCCCGACTCTCTTGAAGGTCTGCTATGTTGCTGATATCTTCCATTCCGAAAACTGATGGACACGCTTACTTCTCTCTTACCTTTTGTATATCTGAAATAACTGCAAAAAGGCCAGTAGCCTGTCACCAAGTCACCCTTTATTAACTTGTGCACAATATACTGTCTGTGGCCAGCCAGCTCAGGCCAAGTCCCCTGAACTGAGGAGATTCTAATCTCCTGGTTATATTGGTCAGCCAGGGATTTCCCGATTGGCCCAGGCTAACAACCCCAAACAAGGATCTCATAGTCAACAAGGTCCAGCTGGTTCCAATCACTACAATATCTAAAAAACTCTTGCAATCTTGTATTATATTACTAGCTAGCTTACTCTCATAATTCATCTTCCGATGCCTTACTACTTTTTTAATTCTCCTTTGCTGGTTTTTAAAAGCTTCCCATGAATCTTCACCACATTATATGCTTTTTCTCTTGCTTTTATGCTGTTCATGACTTCCCCTGTCGGCCACGGTTGCCTCCCAAATTACCCTTAGAAAGCACTGCCATTGCTGATCCACCATCTTCTCTGCTATGGTCCCCTTTCAAACAACTCTGGCCGGCTTGATCCTCGTATCTTTGTCAAAAAATAAATAAAAACCGAAAGAAATGCGGATGCTGTAAATCAGGAACAAAAACAGAAGTTGCTGGAAAAGCTCAGCAGGTCTGGCAACATCTGTGAAGAAAAAATCAGAGTTAACGTTTCGGGTCCAGTGACCCTTCCTTAGTTCTGAACTGGACCCAAAATATTAACTATGATTTTGTCTTCACAGATGCTGTTAGACCTGCTGAGCTTTTCCAGCAACTTCTGTTTTTGCTCATATCTTTGTCGTTACCTTTACTCAATTGTAATACCGTTATATCTGATCCCAGCTTCTCCCTCTAAAAGTGAACTGTGAATTCTATCATATTATGGTTACTGCTCCCTTTGGGCTTCCTTCATCTTAAGCTCCCTAAACAAGTCTGCTACATTACACATCACCACATCCAGAATTGCGTGTTCCCTCGTGGGCTGTACCACAAGCTGCTCCAAACACCATCTTATAGACATTCCATGAATTCATATGCATGAGATCCACTACCAACCTCATTTTCCCAGTTCACCTGCATATTGAAATCCTCCATGATTGTTAAAATCATGCCTTTCTTATAGGACTCTTCTATCTCCTGATTTATTTTCTTCCCCACATCCTGACTATTGCAAGGAGGTCGAGACATAACTTTCACCAGGGTCTTTTTTCCCTTTGCGGTTCCTCAACTCTACCCACACAAATAAAACTGATTTGGTACACAAATTTTGGACACTGTGGATCATGTTAATGCCTCCTTCAACATATACACAGCTGAATATGTGTTGAATTGCATCAGCTCGCAGTCCAAACTAACATTATTTAAAGGCATCATCATTCAAATTTAAAGTGAGGTGCTTATAAATTTCTTTTGCTGCTAGAGAGTTAATGGAAATTACTGTGTATTTTGGAGAAGTCAGCATGGACTTTTTTTCAATCAGAAATTAAGGGTGCTGGGCCTTTTATAGTTATGTGTGTTAGGGAAAAGACCTCTGTCCAGTCTTTGAGGATACTATTGCACTTCCTCTTAAGCTTCACCCTGAAGTGCAAGTGGAACAAGTAACAGAAGAGAGAAGCTTTTTAGAAACAAAGGAGGATTCTCAACACAAAGTCTTACTCCTCTAGGCGTTTTAGAGAATGCCAGAAAAGACAAATCATATTCATAACTTTGTAAATTATAAACTGTATGCAATATGAAATATCTTGGGACTGACATTTCTTTTTAAAATGGATATTAAAATACTCCAAAGAAATGGTCACATCCAACTAGGTCTGTGGATTCAAAGTCTGCCAAGTTTCTTCACAAGACAAAAGGCCCAGATTAGAGATTAGAGGTGGCACTATCAATCACCCAGAAACCAGCCACAAATAATTTCCTGACTTGAATATCTCAAATGCCCAGGGTGAGTATCTATAAAACAATAATCCAGGTTATTTCTTTATTTGTTCATGGGATATGGATGTCACTACCCAAGCTAGCTTTTATTGCCCATGCCAATTGCTCTTGACAAGGTAATGGTGAGCTGCTCTCTTGTACCTCTGCAGTCCTTGGGTTGTAGGTAACCAACAATCCTTTTCAGAACACAGACAGAACAGAAATTGCTGGAAAATCTCAACAGGTTTGGCAGCATCTGTGGAGAGAAATCAGAGTTAATGTTTCAGATCCAGTGATCTTCTTCGTTGTTTCTGATTTCCAGTGTTCGCAGTTCTTCCAGATATTTCAGGAACAGAGTTCCAGGGTTTAACCCAGCAACAATAAAAAAAACTGATAATACCGTTCCAAGTCAGGAAGGTGTATAACTTGGAGGGGATTCCCATGGTATTCCTATGAGTCTGTTGCTCTTGTCATTCTAAACAGTAGAAGTCACTTGTTTGGAAGATGCTGCTCAAGGAGTAACAACCATTTTAACCAAACGCCACATTTGGAAAAACCGAAAAAGGGACTTGAGGAATCAGATAACATAGCAACCATACTGGTCTCTTTTTAGTTATTTTAAGTTTTGTCTGCAGACAGATACAGCACCATGAGAAATGAAAGCTATGCCCATTGTTTGTGACCATTGCATCATAAGGTCTCCAGGCCCTGATCCTCTTTTGACTTCACTACAACAGCAA